AATGGCAAGTGGAGGATGTGTATTGACTTCACCAACCTCAATGATGCGTGTCCAAAAGACCCTCATCCCTTGCCAAACGTCGAGAAGTTAGTGGAGCGGGCAGCGGGGCATGAACGGATGAGCTTTCTTAACGCCAGCTCGGGCTATCACCAGGTTCAGTTGCTGTTGGACGACCAGGAGAAAACAGCTTTTTACGCTGGTGATGCAATCTACTGCTATGTCATGATGCCGTTTGGCCTCAAAAATGCTGGAGCAACATACCAGAAGCTGGTGCAAATCATCTTTAAGCTCCAGATCGGCAGAAACATAGAAGTATATGTGGATGACATGATAGTCACCAGCGTGCGAGCTAAGGATCACATTGATGACCTGGATGAAACATTTCAAAACTTGCGTCGAGCTCAAATGAAACTGAATCCCTTGAAATGCACGTTCGCTGTGGAATCAGGGAAATTCCTAGGGTACGTGGTATCCAAGAAAGGAATTGAAGTAAACCCAGAGAAGGTTGAGGCCGTTCAGCAGATGGAACCGCCAAGGACTGTCAAAGACGTGCAGCGTTTGACAGGCCGTGTTGCTGCGCTGCACAGGTTTATAGCCAGGTCGGCAGAAAGATGCCTCCCGTTCTTCAAGGCCCTGCGAGAGCCCAAGAATTTTCAATGGACCGACACGTGTCAGTAGGCCTTTGACGAGCTCAAACTATACTTGGCGTCAGCGCCCCTGCTATCCAAGCCTGTGGAAGGGGAAAGCTTGTATCTGTATTTAGGGGTTACAGCAGAAGCGATTAGCTCGGTCCTACTCAGGGAAGAGAATAAGAACCAGAAGTCTATCTGTTATGTAAGCAAAGTCTTACAGGGCGCCGAGCAGAACTACCCACTAGCGGAAAAGGCTGCTTTTGCCCTGGTTTACACAGCTCGTAAGTTGAGAGCCTACTTCCAATCACACCAGATTGTTGTTTATACTGATTTCCCGCTGAGGAAAATACTGCAGAAGCCAGAGCTCTCTGGTCGGCTCATCGGATGGAGTGTCGAACTGAGTGAATATGACCTTAAGTTTCAGCCACGCACAACTATAAAAGGCCAAGCTATGGCAGACTTCCTAGTTGAATGTGCCCCGGCGGCTGTGAAAGAAAAGGCACCTGAACACCCACTTTGGGTTTTGTATGTGGATGGAGCTGCTAATGTCGAAGGATCTGGTGCTGGAGCTGTGCTACTGGGCCCT